CTTGTTATATTATCTCTATCATGCCCTTCCTTATTTTTTATTCTCTTTAAGGGGAAAGATGGATATGACTCAAAACCTGGAGGAACTGATGGAAATTCATCAGTCTCTTCTTTAACACAAACTCTCACGAGCTCCGTCCCCATTTAATACTGGGATGTACAGACAACCAAAGACATTGTCTTTAAATCAATATTTATTTCTAGATGCTAAAGTTACAGTTCCAAAATGTAGCTATACAAGGCTTTAAATAACTTACTATATAACTCAAGGTGACAATTAAATATTCTTTACAGAGACTTCCAGATTAGGTCCCAAGTTTCCTGCAGGAAAGAAAATTTGAAAAGGGAACATGATTTATCAGCAAAGAAATGCAACAAATAACAATCAATCAAACTAAAAGTCCCAATGCAATATGCAAGTCCATTATCTTGACAAATGTATCTTGCTCTAACAGTTTGCTGCAGAATTCAGGAATTCTCTAAGAAGTCACAGTTCTTTATTAGTATGAAATGACTTGAATATATATATATATATATACATACAGAGAGAGACAGAGAGAGAATAAGATTACGTGGTTAATTTGAGGAAATTCCATCAAAGATAAAGCACAAAGTACAAGCAACAAGAAACAAAGCGACAGAGAAAGAATTGGAGTGAAAGCAAGAATAAAATAAGAACAAGAGGAAAGGAGACTACATCATAGAAATCACAAGCTTCAAAGTTGGGAATAGATCCAAATCCTTGCCTTCAGTAGTTGAGGACAAACTCAAGAACAGAGGAACAATTTCAAGTGCTAATATTCCAACTTAGATAGCGAAATATGCCATTTAATCCATCACCATTTTATGCCAAAGTGCAATTTCACAACTAACTACAGCATTTTCAGCAGACACCTAAGAAGGAAATATGTGACAGCTTGCAAATTCTATATTATACTCTTATGGGGAAAAAAATAAACTAATCCAACCTTCACAATGTTTCGAATCTAACTTATAACATATCCCAGTTGATGCAGGCACACCACAAATTTATCTATCTATCAGCACCTCTGACAATGCATATCCAAGGATCCAATCATCAACTAATTCACTTCCAACAAGAAGGAAGTCAACCCCTCTTTTCAACCATACAAAGGCTTTATGAAGACTTTGCCATTAAGAATATCACATTTTCTTACGCAGCTGGGGCCAGGAGGAGAGAAATATAACTACAACGAGAAGTTTCGCATAAACACTGAGTTAAACATTTTTCTCTTCGAGCACATCCATAAAGACATATTAATTTAAGATTCAAAATGCGCATGCAGCTGGATCCGGAATTCACAAGCAAAAATGTTCTTTTTATATGTCCATAATACACAATAATGAGTTGAACTGATCTCTCAGGCATATGGTACTTAATCCTAAACCTCAAAAATCTTCACAGAAACCCAATCAAAACTCACAATTAGAAATCAAACATCTACACAATTTGATCCATAAGATTTATAAGCTTATCCAACACAAGTTTAGAAAAACGTTAAATTTGTTGAGTATACACCTCATTCATGAGCAAAATATGAAAGGGAATTCTGAAAATTCACTAGCTTCATGGAATATTCAGCAATCAGTAAGTTACAGAGGAAAAAATAAAAGACAATTACTAATAAAATCACTGCACAAAATTAAAGTAAATCAAAATGAAACAAACGTGTGACTTACGTGTTCCTTTATCCAAGATTCTGGATTTCAGTTAAGTGAAAGCAGCTCAGACTCCATTCACTACACCCAGAAAATTAGGAACCGGAAGACACAAAATTGCAGACTAAATTAAAAACCCTAACTCCGGATATCACTTAAAAATTAAGAAAATATCTGATTTCAACAGATCTAACAAGAACCCTAACCCTATACCAGATGGCATGAAGAGAACCCTCCCCCCCAGTTTTTCCCTTTTCCAGTAAAATTACAAAAAAGAAAAAAAAAATTGATGCGTTCAAAGATACCCCACAAATCCAAATATTACCACCAAGACCCACCTTTCATTATCAGGAAAAAAATTCATCAAACCAATAGAACCCTAGAAATCCTGTCATTAGATAAAAGCCCAATTCCTCTGAGAAGAAGATAAGGGTAAATCTGGAAGAACAAAAAATTATTTGGGTATTGCTTGCACATCACAAAATTTCAAGAAAATATACAGTCTGATGATGCTTCATGTACACCCAAATTCTCAAAAGATATAGATTCATAAACTACTAACCTTTTATAAACATAAAATATAATTTCAGAAGTTTGGAAAGTAAATATTTTTTTTTCTCATTCTTGTTATTATGTACGGGCATGTGCTTTAAATATTTCTTCCCTTTTTATGTTTCCCAACCTTCCTTACCAGTTTTTCCTAACAACATAATTAAATCCCATTTACAGTTTAATATTTTTGGATAATTTTGTAATTAGCAAGTAATATACCTATAAATTAAATTTAAAAAATTAATTTCCTTGCTCACAAAAATCGGTTATTGGTCGGAGGATAAAAACGCGAGACATTGACGATACGTTAAATTTGCGAGAGGCGAGAAAATCGAGGCCCCGTGCTGGGGAGTTTCCCGATATACTCGATTCCAGGGGCACTGCTGGGAATTTATTATATTTTAATTTCTTTTAATATTTAAAACAATATTAATTACGAATATTATTTATAATTTAATAATTAAAAACCAATTTTACTTATAATTAATGGTATTAATTTGTAAAATTAGTTTGATTATACAGAAGAAACAAATACTATCTTATTTCACTTGTATTATTATTTTTAAAATATATATTATCTAAATTATTTAATTTCAGTTAAATTACCATATTCTATATAAAAATAAATAAAGAATTTAACACAGAATTACTGGAATTTTATAATTTTTTTTTTAAAAGTGCTTTTTTAGAATAAAATAAAATAGTTTTTTTTATATAATTATATACCTAATTTAAATACATAATTCATAATATAAATCACGCGTGTAGTGGTCGTGCTTCACGTGTATCAGGGCGCGTGCTACAGTGTAGATTAAAGAAGTCTGGGGAGCCAAACAGCCCCTTAATTTTATGTTCCCATTTTTTTCAAACCTCCATAAATATATACTTAAATTATACTTCTCATCACTTGGTCGGTCAACGGTCAACACTCGACTCTTTGTGCAATTAGATCCTATATTGATATATCGAATTTTTAAATTATGATGATTATTTTAATTAAAAAAATATATTTATCAATAAATATTTTTTTTATTTTATTAAAAAAATTAATATTAATCGTGACACAAAAATAATAAAAATATATATTTGTTTTTATCTGTAAAAAATAATTCTTAATTATTGACGCTCTTAAATATTTTCTCTCGAATACTACTAGAATTTCGGATAATCTTCATTTCAAAAACTCAAGTTTATTTATGATTTTGCTCAACGTAACAGAAATAATAATAATATATATTTTTTGAGTGTTATATGCTTATTTAATTAGTCAGAATAAATTTTTATTACTTGTCCGGTCAATGGTTAACATTAAACCTTTTCTCCAACTAGATTCTATATTGATATATCGAATTTTTAAGATTATTACGATTA